TGTTGACTTAAACGTGGTTAAATGGTAGCTTAATAACGATTGGACATTAAGCACCTATAAGTTAAGCTTAATGATGACTTTAAGATTGTCTAGAACCTACCATTAAGCACCTATAAGCTACGCAGCTATGTTGAGGCTGTCCGAAGGCTTAATACGCATTAGATATATACTATTTTATTTTGAGCTATGTTTTGATTTTAATTTGTAATCTGTGTATACATACACAGTTAAGTTGTAAATAGAGTAGAATAGGGTATTAAAAAAAGCATTTTTGTGATGTCACATGACTGTGTTGATCACGTGACGGACACATAAATTTTCTTAAATGTTGCACAAAAATCGCATCGGCACAAGTGAAAAACAAAATTATTGTTAACAGCTTGTTACATAAATCAATTAAACGTATTCTTGGGTGTATATAAAGTGCTGGGGGCAAGTCTGAATTTTATTTCTTAAGAAAATATTTCACGAGAAATTCAACTTACCCACATACAAGGGGTCATTTTCCACTCTTCATCGCAATTTATACAAAATGGGAAAAATTACATACAATCCCCCAGCAAAATTCAGTTAGAGAACATATTATTCTAGTAGATTCACACAGAATATCTTCAATTAATCCTTATTATTCACTTGTGCCAGTCTAATATATATAAGATTAATAAATTCTAACTCGGTCTAAGGACGCGTAAAGGGGGGCATTTCACAATCTTTTTCTGTAATTGTTTGAACACGTACATGTTATACAAGAAAAAGCAATAACGATATTATACCGCAAATATTCACCATCATAACAGCCTTAAAAACAACAATCAAAACACATGAATTAAACATCAACGTAAAAAAATCTACGTGTGATGTGAAAGGAATGTAAAAGTAATGACACTTTCCCCGTAATGTCTGCTCAAATTTGCAGTGACTTGACGTCATATGCCATTATGACGTTATATCTAGGTAGTTCAGAAAAGATACTACGCTGGTATACTGTGACATTCTTCGGACAGCCTTATCCTAGCCGCGTATCTTTAAGCCACCATTAAGCTACATTTAAGCACCCATTCAGGACTTTGAGATAGTGCTCCAGAGTTGCGGAGTAAGGAGTTGATCCTTACGTCGCGGGTTCGAATCCCACTGTTGAAAGTGGAAACCGGATCTTCTGATGAGACCATATAAACCGAGGTCCCGTGTCGCAGTAGATGCTGGCACGAAAAAGATACCTCACTGCTCAATGGCCGTAAGTGCCAAGTATAGGTCAAAATTTGCAGCTCTCCACCGGCAAGCGGTGGCGTCTCCGTATGAGTGAAAAATTGTCGAGAGAGACGTTAAACAACAAACAAACTTTGAGATAGCTTAATGGTAACTTAAAGCTATCGCGCAAGAATATAAAGCGTTATGCGTATTACATGCGATACGGTGTCGGCACTATTTCTCTTCTCTACTAATATCTCAATTCCATATATAAGACGTTTGGTCATCGTCACGGGCTGATGCACACTGACCTAAAAGGCCTAGTGTATACATTGATAGGTATGTCAAACCTGTACTGTCTATGGGGATTTCTATTTCATTCAAGTAATACAAAATGTAACACTAATCGTAAATCAGAAATGAGTAAAAATAATAATTAGTAAAAAATAAATAAAATCAGGATTGAGTAAATAATGTTTTGACACACACTAATAACTTACACGTTATTACAATCGAACTGCAGTGAGAGACACACATCGAACACTACGAAAGTGGACAATTTGTGGAGACAGTACAAGTTTGATGGATCCAACGGTAAGTAGAAATAAGCATAAAAACGATCAGAATAAAGTATCCAAATTCTTTGACGAAATACATCCAGAACACATTCACGCCCTTCCGACATGTTGACAAGTCACTTGACAATCCAGTTTTGCTAAAAATAGATAACATAATTTCCATTTTCGTGCGCATGCCTCTCAAAAGGATCGGTTATTATTTTTTTATTCATTGAATATATTCTATAATTCAAATACATCCTCCTGCTAATTATTTAAAGGTTTTGCAAGAAGTATTTAAAACAAAGAGAAAATGGTCTGTCTGTATTTTATGTTCTACACATTTTAACTAGTCTGTATGATATTCTGCAGAACTCCGGGGGGGGGGGGGGGGGGCGGCAGAATTATATATATTACATGAATGTGAGGGTGCATGTTTTCAGATGAATTCTTGCCTTTTTTTCATTCTTCAATGGGGTTAATAGGCAAAATGTAAGCCGGTATGTTTGAGGAAATTTCACTTATATATATATATATAAGCGTACAATTTAAACGTACAAAAATCAGATGTCGAAATAAAGTATAAGCTTGGACACCTGAATTTGTGTAGAATTTCAATCACTTTTATTTATAAAGGTTTCTGGGAACATGATGGAATCTGAGGAAGAGACTTCAGATACAGAGGTGATAATTTTTATTTTTTTATTTTTATTATTTTTTTTATGGTCTGCCCTCTGAAAAAGGATCTCTGTCAGAGTTTCAATTTCATTTATAAAAAAAAAAAAGAAGGCCACCAACCCTGAACCCCTTTGAAAAGATGTAAACTGATATAACTTTGTAGTCATTGTGTGTAGAAAAAAACAAAAGAAACAAACAAACAAAAATCATCCTGCATCTGATTGATTACAGTGTATGAATTCATCTATATTATAATCATTTCTTCGCCCTTTTCATGTACTATGATTTTTTTAAAAATCAATTTCTACAAAAAAGTAGCTTCTGTACTATCATTATTATATGAAGCGGGAAAATGGATTAAATACTTTTTGGAACAATCCATGCACTTTATGCCTTATAAAGAATTTGTGTGAAATAAAAATATTCATATGTATGCATGTAGTCATTTTTTAAGGAAATAAAGGTTCAATATCTCTCAAATTATATTCTTTCATCGTTAATAACTCTATTATTCTCAATAAAAATATGCATGTAGGGATGTGAAAGTACAGTGGAAAAATTACTACGAGAAATATTTGGTGACGATGATGCAAACGAGACCATGGATCCAGAAGATGTAGATACAGAGGGAGAAAACGACGCAGATGAAGCTATGTGGCACGAGTATGAGCCCTCTCTCTCTCTCTCTCTGCGCCACATAATCAAAAGCGCTTATAAAACCTTTATCTATATTTATATACGCTACATTACTCATTTATGTTTGAAGGAGAAACGAGCAAGACGAGGAAATCCATCTTGTAAAGGACAGGAGGTTTATCGTCGGCGAAAGGGAAATTCTCTACCTTATAGAAAGATCAACGTGTTCAGAGTGTGGAGAGCGCATTGATAATTCTACCATTCAGGAGGGGGAGAAGATTGCTGCTGGTATAAAATACCAGTACCTCTGCGTTGTATGTATACAAAAAAGGAAAAAAATCCAGGTTTCCAATCATTTTTGTGTGATATTTCCATTGATCAAAACATTTATATACGAGAGGTGTCTTATACGGAAGCGAAATAGTTCACTGACTAGCCTTATTCTGTAAAAAAGAAAATAAAATGCAATAGAATGAATTTTTTAAAAAGTAAATTGATTATTAGACATAACTACGTTTTGCATTGACCAATTTGAGATCCGGACATATTATAAAAGAATTTAAAATGTATAAGATGATTATAAAAAAATACATGTACACTTTAAAAAAAACAATCCTGCTTCTATTTTACAAAGGATAAACAAAAGTAGAACAGAAGGGTTCATAAAAATAGCATTAGGTGGAGGAAAGTAAATTGAAGAATTTCTTTTATTCTTCTTTTATTGCATGAATATACAAGACAGGAAAAGGGGTGGGGTATAAACTTACACTTATCTGATCATCTCAATGATTTTATACTAATTTTGGATGGAAGTTGATTTTATACATTTTTGGAAAATAGAATTCCCACAAGAACAAATGGATTTCGACCCCTTTTTATGGTGGGAAGAGTCTGGTGGCGCTGCTAATACAATTGATGGTGCTGTTATCTGGCGCGTCTTGGAGTAAGTTTGCCACAGGAGCGAAGTTTATAAACTTAGTAACAGGGTGTTCCCGTGCATTTTACCACCATCAACTTCTGTATAAGGTAATTTTTTTTTAAAATTTTCAATCAATAATATTTCCAATTAAAAAGGAAATTCAAAGTAGACAAACTAGATATTACTCTCTTTGCAGGAGGCAATAAACAGTTTTTTTGAAAAACATCTGACTAATGTGCATAAAAAATTAGCAGGCAAGCCATTGAGCCTAGCAGTTGACGTCCGATATGACTCACCAGGTACAGGAGATATTTACTCTAATAGCTAAATGAATGTCAGGTTTTAGATATACTGAATAAACAGTAATCTCTTATTTAAAAAAATAGTGATTTTTTATACAAGTATGTTACAGCTTTTTCAAATAGTAAGGGGGGGGGTTGAGAAAAAACTGAAAAATTTTGACAATAGAGAAATGAAAGAAAAATGAAGGGAACAGTCCCCACCCACCTACTGGTGCTACTAGGATCATGCGCGGATCCAGGATTTTTTTCCAGGGGGGGGGGGGGATTCCACCCCAGTCAAAAAAATCCAACCCAGAAATTTGTTGACAAGCAAAAAAAAAAATGTAAACTCGCCGCCCAAACGTGAAAAACCTATATTTCTTGAGGGGGGGGGGGGGGGGGGTTAGTGGTTGACTTCTTACATTTGACTTTTCGTACCAACTTGACACAGGTCCGCGTTTTCGAGGGGGGTCTGCGTTTTCTTAGGGGGGTCCAAGGTCTCTTTTTACTTGGTTTAGTATATAAATTTAATAACTCTGCAAATTCCAGGGGGTCCGGACCCCCCCCCCCTCTAGATCCGCGCATGAGGATATGTCTGTCATGACAGCAGTAAAAGTCGTGAATTGTCTTGCAGGATTTTCCGCTAACAAAGCAACTTCAGTGTTTATGGACTGCGAAAGTCGGTTGATTGTGCAATTAGATGTTGCAGACTCCAGAGAAGTACAGAGATACAGTCCAAAAATGGAAAAGTTGTTGGTTGAGAGGGGACTGGAGAAGGTTATATACCATTATCCATTGGTGATTTGGGAAATCGTTTCTGATGCCAGCAGAACGATCATTGCTTTGCTAAGTAATAATTTATAATACTTTACTGGAATTATCTGGTATATATTATCTATTCATAATCAGATAAAAGTATATACATATGTTCCAATAAAATTTGATTGTCATTTTAGAATCGGATAGGTTTAAACACATTCGCCACAGTTTGGATATTTGGCATAAAGCTAAGAAGCTTGCATATATGTTGGGGGATGCTGCAAAGAAAGCTGCCCATCGGAGTCTATTACCATGGATCCGCCCTACTGTAAACCACTTCTGGTATTGCTGTAGTTCGTGCGGTGGGGATGCCCAAAAACTGGTTAAAAAATGGTTTAAAATACTGCACCATGTTACAAACGAGCATGAATGGTCTGGTGGCAGGTAACCATGCATTATGAAAACATATCCAATGAAACTATTTTGAACTGTTTTAAAAAAAAATTGCGATTTTATCTATTTAATTGTAAACTTATAGATGTAATCATGCTAAAGACACAAATACAAGTATGGAAAAGTGGCTTTCTAAGAATTCATCTACTTACACAGAATTTCGGTACGTATTTATTATTTACTGAAGTTAGTGAACAGACGTACCCTCTTTTTACTATCTATACAAACAATTACAGTACAGATCATTAGAAATCATGATTTTTTTTATTTCTATATATAGAAAAATCGTCGTAAATAAGGAGTTTACTGGGAACTTCAATTATTACACTACCTGTAGACAAACGTGGGCAATTGAAAATTTCTATTCCCACACTCTCCTGCACTACTGTCCAAAACAAGTGTCATTTGGATTTGACTCCTACGTCATCAGGAACCAACTTGCTGTCATCGACTATAATCACCATCTGGACAGAGAGATTCAGCAAGCAAAGGATGGAACCAGTGTCCCTGTCGTACAATTTTCTCGTAAAACGAAGCAGTGGGTTGCTTATGATAGACGAGTAGCTAAATGTTATACTTATATTCCTGGTACGTAAATAAGAATTTTTTTTCATATGTTATGTTAAAAACTAGGTGGGGGGGGGGGGGTAATGAAATTAATAAAGTATGCATTGCCTTATAAACATGCCGTATTCTTTCTGAATTTGTTTTTACATACAGGTTGTATTTATTCTCCCCCCTCCTTTTTTGGGGGGTGGGGTGGGGGTGGTGGTAAAAATCTATCACTGTAAAGATATAAATAATTATTCAGTACAATTTTTTTTAGATCTCATTGCAAGTTGTTTGAGACAAACATATGGCGCCCGAAGAGAAGCATATACGAAAAGTTTACAAGCAAAAACATTGGATCAAATCGCTACTAATCTCTCTGGAGAAATTACACCGTCATCTAAGGAACTTTTAAACAGCAGAAAAAAAAGAAAAACTTGTGGTAAGTAACATTTCTCTTTTAATCTGAATCAGAGTATAAAGACTCATAGCCCTTATAGTCCACAGGATTGACTTCAGGAAATCGAAGTCGTATCTGACGACAGACACAGGATGGTACTACAACTCGCCTTCCTGCTCCTAACCGCCCATGCTGCCAGAGTACAAAATTGCGGTATGCCTGGTTCCTGAACGTACTGGCTCTGAAACTAGGATCAAGATTTGTTCGGAAACTCCAGTTCAGAATGTTCGCAATCTCAATAACATCATGTCTGAGACATAGGTTGCGAAATTCTGGCCTCGTGGTGATGCAGTGGGGATGACCACAGCAGATATTCATCCGTGGGTCAGGGAAAACGGTACACTTCCCACAACAACACCATGAGGCAACACTGAAGTTACCCGAACAAAATCCACTTGTTTCCAAGAGGTATGGGGCCAGTACGTCAGGAAGCAGTGTCGCCGCAACTGATACTCTTGCACGCAACTCCGCCTCTGGCATGGAGGTAATGGCGTTCTGCAATAATGAACAATGTTCATGTTTAAAATAATAAAGAGACAGATGCATAAAGTGTGGAATTTTGTTCTATGTCCGTTGATTCTTGTATAATTTTGGTGTACCTGCAAACTAACTGCCTGACCCTGGTCTCTGTTATTTTCAGGTCTGGCTCTATCTTCCAGCATTTGATTAAGAGAAGGGACACCATCTCCTCCTCTTGAATTCCTTCTGCTATTGTTGGCATAAGGGTGAAACCTGGATTGTTGTGGATTTCCTTCTGCTTCCCTGAATTGGCAGTTAGCATTTCTACAGTTTGTGCAGCCCCTTCTCCTGCATACACAACTTTTGCACTGCCCTCTATTTTGGCATGCACAACAATTTATCTATGAAAGCAGATAAAATACATTATCAATAAGCCTGGAAGAGAGAGAGAGAGAGAGAGAGAGAGAGAGTATCAAACAGCTTATTTTGTAAAAACTTATTTCTCTTAAATACACGTATATATCAGGTCATGCATTTATAATTACCATTTAAATTATTGGGTGTTTTTTGTTTTTTGTTTTTGTTTTTTGTATGAAGAAAAACGGTATGTACATGTTTTGTGCTGTAGGTTTCTGTCAAACATTAGTTATTATGGATTTTGTACGGCGTTATTTTCGTACATATATGGAAGAAATATTTTACATGTGTAATAACAGTACAAGTTGTACATATTTGTTGGAAACTTTTTGATGTTTGTACTATCTAATTATTTTAATGAAGAAAAGCTTTATTTTGATCAAGAAAAATACAACTTCAATATACGTGTACATATGTGTTTTGTCCTTTTTCATATTAGTTAGGAAAAAAGGAGGCCTACAAATATTTTTCTATAACCTCCAATATTTTTTTTTACTCAATTTTTCTTCACATCTGTAGCTAACAGGATCTGGGTAAAAATCGATTACAATTACATGAGTAACATTTAAAACCACACCTTACAATGCGGTGAATCCCGCTTTTATATATTATTACTTTTTTTCAAAGATAAAATGCAATCATCAGAAAAATTGTCAATAATAACCGATCCCATTGAGAGGCATGCGCACGAAAATGGAAATTATGTTATCTATTTTTAGCAAAACTGGATTGTCAAGTGACTTGTCAACATGTCGGAAGGGCGTGAATGTGTTCTGGATGTATTTCGTCAAAGAATTTGGATACTTTATTCTGATCGTTTTTATGCTTATTTCTACTTACCGTTGGATCCATCAAACTTGTACTGTCTCCACAAATTGTCCACTTTCGTAGTGTTCGATGTGTGTCTCTCACTGCAGTTCGATTGTAATAACGTGTAAGTTATTAGTGTGTGTCAAAACATTATTTACTCAATCCTGATTTTATTTATTTTTTACTAATTATTATTTTTACTCATTTCTGATTTACGATTAGTGTTACATTTTGTATTACTTGAATGAAATAGAAATCCCCATAGACAGTACAGGTTTGACATACCTATCAATGTATACACTAGGCCTTTTAGGTCAGTGTGCATCAGCCCGTGACGATGACCAAACGTCTTATATATGGAATTGAGATATTAGTAGAGAAGAGAAATAGTGCCGACACCGTATCGCATGTAATACGCATAACGCTTTATATTCTTGCGCGATAGCTTTAATAATGGTGTGTTTTTTGCTTAAAAATAGCTTAAAGGTTCTTCATGGTGACTTAAAGACGACCATTAGCCACCATTAATGACCTATAAGCCATCATTAAGCCACGCTTAAAGGAAATATTTCATCTTGTGTTAAAGTAAGGCAAAGTACCACACTAAACTAATAATGTAGTAGTGTACACAATAGTGCAATTTCGATCCGTTAGGGTTTGCAATTACTTGGGAATTGAACTATCAAAACACTTCAAACGAGTTACTAATCCAGAAAATGTAATTCAAATCCAGCATCTGAAGCAAGTTTGACAGTGATCATCCCTTGATAAATCATCCATGCAAGTTTGGTTCTTTCAGGTCTTATAGTTTCTCGGTAATGGACCTGCACCAAAAACCTTAAGCTTTCTCTCATTTGGAAAGTGTAGGTCAATTTCAGCATCGGAAGGAAGTCCAGTAGTGTGCATCCTAAGATTATCATACATGCAAGTTTGGCCAAGGTATATGGAAAATATAAACTTTAGAATGAACTTGCTCCAAAACCATTAACCTGGTCACTCATCCTAAAAGAGTAGGTCAGATCCAGCATCCGATGCAAGCATGGTGGTGTGCATCCTTAGATGTATCGTCCATGCAGATTTGTTCAACATAGGGCTTATATTTACTTTAGAATGTACCTCCTCCACAAACTTTGTAACGCATTTGGAAAATATGATCAGGTCCAGCATCCGTAGCAATTCCAGTAGTGTGCATCCTTAGATGTATCATATAAACACGTTTGGTCAACATAGGGCTTATAGTTACTTTAGAATGAACCTGCTCCAAAACCTTTAACCTGGTCTCTCAACTGGAAAATGTAGGTCAAATCCAGCATCCGAAACAACCTTGTAGTGTGCATCCTTAGATGTATCTTCCATGCAGGTTTGGTAAACAAAGGGCTTATATTTAATTGGAATTGAGATCTGGTCCGAAAACATTAAACTGGTCACTGATCCCGAAAATATAGGTCAGATCCAGCATCTGAAGCAAGCGTAGTAGTGTGCATCCTTTGGTGTATCATCCATGCAAAGTTGGTCAACATATAGTTACTTTAGAATGAACCTACTCCAAAAAAACTTTAACCTTGTAACCCATTTAGATAATTAGGGCAGATCCAACATCCGAAGCATGGTAGTGTGCATCCTTTGATGTTTCATCCATGCGTGTTTAGAAAACATACATATGTAGGACTTATAGTTAATTTGAAATTAGATCTGAACAAAATCTTTAACCTGCTCCAAAAAACTTTACACTGCTTTAAAAACATTAGCCTGGTCATTCCTTAGCTGAAATTGCAATATCTGAAACCTTGACTGGTACAATGAAATGTATCATCCGTGCAAGTCTGGTCAACATAGGACTTATTAATAGTTACTTTAGAATGAAGTTGCTCCAAAAACTTTAACCTGCACCAATAACTTTAATCTGCTCCAAAAATATTAACCTGATCATTCTTTAGCTGAAATTACAGCATCTGAAACCTTGACTGGTACAATGAAACATACTTTAAGCATCTTCAATGCATCTCTCATTAATGTATGGCCTAGAAGTATTTAAGCAAAACTGCACCAAAAACTTTTTACCTTGGACGTCAACGGTATCACATAAGCTCCAACCCCCAACTTCGTTGAAGTGAGCTAAAAATGTGATTGAGCTTGTGTGTTTTGAATTGGATGCGCGTGTATTTATCTATTCATGATAACACTAGACGAAGCGTACCCTAATCTACACTTTTTATTACGATGCCTTTTGATTATTAGACCAGCAATCCTCTTTTAATTGTATTTAAATGCATAGTTATTTTTTTAAATACAAAATAAGAACAAGATGTGTTTGTGAAACACTGATGCCCCCGTATGGCAAATGTTAAAGTTTCTCAAGTGCAAGTCAAAATCCAGGCCAAAAGATAAAAAAAAAATGTTGGTACCCAAAGAAAGGTCTTGTCTCGAGGAGTATATCTGTGAAATTTGAAAGCCCTAGCTGCAACTGTTCAAAAGTTATGGCGAAGGTTTTGTCACTGGGATTACATATGTGAAGTATGAAAGCCCTAGCACCAAACATTCAAAAGTTATGGTCAAGTTTTTCAAAAGTAGGTCAAACTCCTTATGAAGGTCAAAGGGGTTGGTATCCAAAGGAATGTGATGTCACAAGGATTACATATGTGAAGTATGAAAGCCGTAGCATCAACCATTCAAAAGTTATGGCCAAGGTTAAAGTTTTTTCAAGTAGGTCAAACTCCTAGGTCAAGGTGAAAGAGGTTGATATCCAGAGGAAGGTCTTGTCACAAGGAATACACATGAAATATATGAAGATAACGAACAATATTCAGGCTCAAAAGTCATCAAACAATACAAAATAGGAGCAGAGCAAACACGGACCCCCAAACATCACAGGTGGGATCAGGTGCCATGGAAGAGTGAGCATCCCCTGCCGACCGGTCACACCCGCCGTGTGCTCCTTGTCATGATCGGGAAATAACGGAAAAATCCGTCGACAATTCAGTGTGTAAAATAATGGCCAAACAATTTGTATGAAAAAGGCCAGTCAGCATTTGACTCAATGATGAATTGCATTTCCCGACAAGGTCATTGTATCGACCATAGAACTTACGAAATGATGACTTTAAACGTGACAGTCGATATTCCTGTTTCATCAATTTGTTTGTCAATAATTTACCTCGCTTTAGAAATTGTACATACGTAGAGCATGCTCTTGCGTATCGAATCAACTGAGAGATATAAATACCCCGTATGCAGGTGATGAAGGTATATTGCTGCATAAGTAAGGGAAGTTGACGATTGAAAAGTTAAAGTCATCACGTTTATCATAAAGCTTGGTTGTTAGATTACCATTAACGTCTTTTTCAAGTAAAATATCCAAATATGAAACAGATGTGTCATACTCTGTGGTATCTTTTATCTCAAGCTCACAAGGATATATGGTATCGACATAAGAATGAAAATAGCCATTGTTAATTGACGAAATGTCATATCTAAATGTCGAGTTGAAGGCCACAGCAAGTGTTTTTTATTCTTTTCACGTACAAGATTTTGGACAAATTCTGCTTCATATGAATACAAAAAAGGTCTGCTAATAACGGGGCGCAATTAGTACCCAGGGGAATTCCAAAAGATTGTTGGAAGACCTGGTCTCCAAAAACCTCATAGATATTGTCAATTAGAAACTCAAGCATCTTTTTAATGTCAACTTCAGAGTACTTGAGTGTACAAGCAGTATGTTTTTTAACAATATAATTTTGCAAATGACCAATGACAAGTTAAGTAAATTTACGAGTTCCATTTTTATTGAAAAAGCAGCTGTCAATGATATCAAAAAGCCTGGACTTTAATTTATCGTGGGGAATGGTTGTGAATAAAGTTGAAAAGTCGTAAGTTTTTAAGCTGTTGATTTTGGTAAAATCTTGTGATTTCAAATTTTCAAAAAGTTCCTTGGAATTTTTAAGTATCCACATCTGATTTACACCATGCACAGTACTCGTCAAGTTTCTCCTTCACTACTGTTAATATCTTAGTGAGGAGTAAAGAAAGAGGCCTGGTTGAACATTTACTGGAACCCGCTATGTATCTGTGTTTGTAAGGATTTTTATGAAGTTTCAGAATCCAATATAAATATGGTAATTCAAATTCATTTTGGTTGTTTGGAATATTAAAAATATTCAAAACTAACATATGATTTTGAAGAATTTCTTCCTTAGAAAGGGAACTCTAACTTGGATTACCACTTGTAGAATTAAATCCAAGTTCCTCCAAAATACATTTAATATAATGAGCCTTACAAACAAAGACAATGTTGTTACCTGCTTTGTCAGCTGGGACCAGTACGTACTGATCATGTAATCTATCTAATTCTTTTTTCACTTCTGGATTTTTGAATACAGAAGGATAGATGGTTCTCATATTGCCCCTCAATCTTTTTGTGCGCGATTTTAACATACATCTGATACATTAAATCCATTCTGACAAAGTGTCAAGGTCTTCTTTTTCATGTCTGGCCCATTACCTGGCGTAGTCCTCTACAGAATCCATAATATTTACGAAGTGTATAATCGGGGCTCCCTTTATTTAGGACCTTTTAAAATTAGTGATCTAAGGTCCTCATTATAAACTATATTTACGTCACCAGTATTAACGTGTCTAGCAGGACTATAGTTATAGGGTGAAGAAGAACATGAACACGATGGAGGGTTATGTTTCAGATATTCGATATCCAGGCCCTGTAAAGTTTTCTTGTAATTAAAAAGTTTTGGAAGCAGTAGTCGATCTATATTTGTAGGAAATACAAGTTGTAGTTTTTAACTTGAAATATGGTGGAATACAAGACTTGGCCCTTTTGTGATCAAGAATATTACTTATATTAACCGCGTCAATTCCTTTGTTGGCATATTGGAGTTCAAGGAAAAAACGGATTGTTTTAGCTGCATTTTCCGCAGTAAAACGTGGGGGTTTAAAAAGCCTATGATTTGCAATATCCATAATCACAGATCCGAGCCTATATTCTGGTGTCGAGGAATTAAAAAATGGACTTTCCTTGACCTTTTCAAGAA